TCCTGAGGGCATTAACATAGCATAAACTATAGCATGTAGGTAACAGATGCAAGACCGTTATCATGCTCGGTTTCGATTCTCCGACAGATAATGCGTACAGTTGTTTGCACTGTTGTTGAATTTATTCATCTGAGACAGTATTTCTTCTTCATAAATAAGCAAGCAAACGAATAACTGTATGTGAGAGATACCTCTTCCTTTTAAATATAAATATTAATACAGAAGCTATCATCTTCTCAATTAGAAGAGATTAAGAAATTGCATTCAAATTTTGTTTATCAACATTTTCAATTTTTATTTAAATTTTTATGCATAGAAAATAAAAGTATTTACTGCCATTTTTTCTAAATTATAATCTTTTATTTCTGTACGATTTTAATTAGGATACATTTTAAAAAATTCTTGTTTTATTTTTTGGTTTTCTTGCAATAGTAAACTTCTTTTTTTATTTCGGATTATATATAAAATTTAAATATACAACTTATTTATTAGATCAATTAATAATTTCAAACAATCTTAAAATATAAGTAAGCATTAAATTGGCGATAACAGACTGCTTGTAATAATTTTCGCATTACTTTTATATATTGTACTTTAAATTCATTTTCTTTAATAGTTTATTTACTTGATATTTTACTAAAATGAAGGATATCAATTCTTTTGTATAATCTTTATTGTCATTAATAATAAACATAATTATTGATGTAAATGTAACACTTTTGAAGTAGCTAAAGCTTAAGCAATATTATAAAATTTTAATATTGAAAAAATTAACAGTATAATTTAAGAATAAAGTAAAAAAAGATATTAGATATTGATATTAGAAAAATCATTATTAATAATATTAATCAAATGAAATAAACGTCACGACACACAAGTAAAAATATATAAAAATAAGAAATTTCTTTCTGGCTTGTCACTTTTGCCTATATATAGGGGCCGCAGTGCAACCATTTTGATCTCTATTATTTGTAGATCTTATAAAAGTATGAAATATAATTTACAATTACACCATTTTCAGTTTTTGAATTATATATATAATTTATCTAAACACAAAGTAAGACTGACAGAAAAGAATTTAATTTATCAATGTCAGATCGTTGGAAGAGTCGTCTTGAGCACAGAAGAAGAATCGAAGCTGGTATCGCGAAAGTTGCAATTAAATTTTCTGTTTCCATTTATGTCACAAGTGGAACTGTAATTTAGTAGGTGACAGCAAACTGTTCACACTCAGAATCAGTTAACTTGTATCTGAGATCGAGTTGACCGAAATGACGAAGTGAAACTTACGGTCAGTAACGATTCTAAAAAACGTACGGGATCACGACACTGTCAGCCTACAATAAGAAAACGTCACGTCACGAGTCGAAAATTTAAAAAAAAAATAGAAAAAATATGTCACGTATGTGAGTCATACCGTCGACCTAACACGTATCGCTTTCTCCGTTCCGGACAATCGTCAAAGTCCAGGGATAGATACGCGTCATCGCCGAGATCTTCGTCACCAATTTCCCCCGACCTCGTTTTGTGCACGGCCTTCTCACGCCTCGCGAAAAGAGACGCGATTTTCACGCTTCGCTGGAAATTCCGCGCGCTGGGAATAGAGCTATAGGATCTTGTTTCAAAGAGATAGAGAGGAGGAGAAGCATAATTGATGCGCGAGATGCGTCGCGAGAAGTTTCACTATCCTTCCACGACGAATGTCGAAGTAGGTCCCGATGGGAAGGTGCAACGACCCGATTTGTTCACCTTATAATATTACTACGTGATGACGTAGACTTTCGAGCCTTAAGCCAGATTATTGTAAGTTGAGAAGTATATTGAGAGAAGTCAAGGAATATTTGCAAACTTGTAAATTATCTTGCAAATTTTTTAAATTTCTTTATTCTAGCAATAGATTGTAATAAGATAAAAAATAATTAAGTTAATTATTCAAAACACATATTTAATGGAAAAAAAACAATTGTCTTTTATGCGTGTATCTATTTTTTTCATTTAATCAATTTTCAATTGCGTGCACACGCTCTTTAGAAAGATACCCTTACAAAGATTTTGGAGATTTATATAGTTAGAGATTTAGATTTTGTATAAATTAAGGAGAAAAAGTAATTTTTGTTGCAAAAAAGTCAGAACAATATAAGCAATTTTTAAATTTTACCTTGCTAGAAATTGTGCAGAAATTAAAGACTTTAATTTAGAAAGAAGACAGTAGCAAGTATATTTACAATACTAAAAACGACTTAAGTCTACTTAAATTTTTGCACAAAAAAAATTGAAGATTTAACTGTGTGATTCGAGTTATTAAACATTATGCTGCTTAGCTTTTATATTATTTAATATACGTGTTCCTATTTTGCTGAGTAAAATGTTTAATAACTCGAATCCACACACACATACCTAGTTTAATCTTCAATTTTTTTGTGTAAAAATTTAAGTCGACTTAAGTCGTTTTCGAACGAACGATTCATTTATCTCTATAAGAAACAAACTAGATGAAGTATCAATTGATATGCAATTAAAATTTGTAATCGATAAATTAATATATGTAGAGAGAGAGAATTAAAATACACATAGAAGAGAGATTTTATTGATGAAATTTGAATATTGAAATATGTATAACGCGGTCAGGAAAGAATTATTTTATATCGTAATTTTTTCTATGATCCGTCGCAGATCGTTCGATTAATTTGGATAGTTCATCATTAGTATCAGACAAGTAATTTTGGTCAACGACTTCGAAATCGCCGACTAGCGAAGGGGAACGTTGAAGGGGCGACGACGATGCAGCAAGTAGTTTCACCGTGTTAAATTAACCGAACGCTCCGATCAAATCGATCGAAACGGGATAATGTCCGAAGAATGTAGCGCGCCGTGAAAGTTCCATCCCTTGAAAGGGTAAGATAGAGGGAACGTCATCCCTTTGATATGCATCCACTTACAATTAGTCATGATGAATAAACACATCCAATATTTTTAAGAAACGTAAGAAATTCTTACACTATAAGTTATTACTTTATTTAATTAAATTATTTATTTAAATAAATAAATAATTTATCTTTCTTAAATTATTTTTTATTTGAATAAAATAAAATTTAAAAAATTTTTATGGAAACGAAACGAAGATTAAAACATCTTTTAGCATGTTTCAAAGAAATGACGTTTTCTCTATTTCACCCTTTCCAGAGTAAATTCTAACGATAAATCTCCAAAATCTTTGTAAGGGTATCTTTCTAAAAAGAGCGTGCACGCAATTAAAAATTGATTAAATGAAAAATATAGATACACGCATAAAAGAAATTTTTTTTTCCTTAAATATGTTTTAAATATCCTTTCAAAGATGAGATAGAACGTCATCCTTCTGATATGTGTTATGCGATATGTAATATGCATTAGATATACATTAGATACGTGATCGCTGCATTCAATCATTAGTCGCAGAGCCGTTGCATATCAAACGGTGCGAAATGCAGTTACATTTCTATGATGTTACCAAATCATTAATCGACAATTACTGCGAAATTACCTTATTTAGTGATCGCTCGATTCCAGACTTATCTAGTCTAATTGACAGAAACAAAATTGGTTTTCGTAATAAACATATCAAAGAGAGATGAAATTGTTAATATCTTGCATGTTGTGAAATAATAGATTTCACGATATATGTGTAAGGAAAATATTTTTTAATATACATAAATTGCGAAATCTATTATTTAAACAAATGCAAAATATTAACGGTTTTATTTCTCTTTAATGTTTATTACAAAAACCAATTTCTGTAAATTAGACTAGATAAGTCGAGCGATCGCTAAATAATGTAATTCGCATATATTTATTATTAATATTAAAAGATATCAAATGATGTAAACGCGCACTTTAATAATAATAACAAATAATGAAAATAAATAGAAAAATAATTATAATATAATATATATATATATATATATATATATATATATATATTATATATAAGTAAAATGAAACATGCTAAAAGATGTTTTAACTTTTGTTTCATTCCATAAAATTTTTTTAATTTTAATTTATTCAAATAAAAAATAATTGAAGAAAGATAAATTATTTATTCATTTAAATAAATAATTTAATTAAATAAAAATAATAACTTATAATGTAAGAATTTCTTACGTTTCTTAAAGAAAATATTGGTTGTGTTTACTCATCATAACTAAGTGGACAAATTCTCACTTTTCCTCTTTAGAATAGATATAGATTCACCAACTCTGTGAAATCTTGAGATTGAGAATTCGTTATAAAATGTACAATTGCCGAGATGAACGTAAGTGCATAGAAAATAGCTAGATAATAAAAAATGACGACAATTGCAATCGAATCTCATCTATTCTCACGGTCTTTCCGTTCTGTCTGGCAACAAAATGGATCTTTTCTTTCACGAAGCTCTCTCAGCCGCCTGCAGGAGATCGAATCGCTGACTAGTAATTTCTATCAATGGCATTTATCGGCGACGTTTCTTCGTATCTCCCAGAATTGTTATCGCTACTATTTTCGCGTTTGCTTTCACTGTTCCCATAACAATAGCGAGATACCACAATAGCGAGTTGTTTGTAGGAAAATCGGGAAGGAACAATATGGGAGAATGTCATTTCCGCTTTTAATTTTACTTGAGGACATCATTAATGGAATTTAAATTGTGTTCATATCAGATCGAAAGATTTCGCTAAAAAATGTTACGTATGCATGGAAAGAGTCGAGATGATCCCATTATCGATTAAAAGAGATAATAACAGTTTAAATTTTATGAATGTATTGAAGATGTGTACATGTATAACGGAGATTTTATACGGAAGTTGGAATCAGGAAATGTATACCAATACTGTTTTTTCAAGGCGTAAAAAAATTTAATTTTAATTTTTTAAATGATAGGGGACTAATACTTTACAGGAATTATACATTGTTATACTTTCGTACATATAATGCGTATGTATATATATATTATGTATAATATATGCATAATATATGACATATATAATATGTGTATAATATATGATATAAATTTTTAATCATTTTTTAACCATTGTTTGATTAAACTTCTTATTTGTATTCTGGCTTCCTTCAATTGAGGCATATCATTTTCTGATGAAGGATACATATCTGCACAATGTGCAGTGCCTTAAAATAAAAATTAATAAATTAAATAACGCACATGTATACATATGTATATATATATATATAAATATATATAGAATATTCTACTTACCATTAATATAAATAGCAGGTGCTTGCGGATTAGAGGAGTTTATAATGCCTAGCACATGCCAAGGATCGACAGAACCGTGTACAAATACTACGTTTGACACTTGTAGATTTAACGCGCCATAAAAAATATTCGTTCGGAAGACAGCAGATTTAACTAAATCTATATCGTATCTGTAAAAGAAAGAACTTTCTCTTATTATTTAAACATTTTTTAAGTGAATATTACGTTCAAAAAATATAATTTAAATAGAAAAGCAAACCTAGGCCCGAAAATATCGATGCATTGCTGTCCAAAAAAGTTTACTGGAAAGGTATCACTGAATAAAGTAGGCTGTGCAGTTGAAGTTTGGAAGAATCCAAATTCTGTACAAGTCTGATACATCCATTGACGTCCTACAAACACCATTCACAATTTAATTATGTAGCATTATATAAATATAATTTGCAGTAATAAAATATAATTTCAATTAAATTCATATGCATTACCTCCTTCTGCTTGCTCACTAGCCCAAGTAACATTTCGAAGCTCACGAATCATTTTACTGTATCGATAATCCAAACATTTCTCCTTAGTAGCATTTAATATCATGTTGTTTATATAAGCGAGTCTATCAATAGGTTTTCCTATCTTTTCATCTACTAATACGTTACATACAGTTTCAATAGTGATGTTAGCAGATGGAGAGCTTCGACGATTGTCTTTATTATATTGTACAACGCCAGCAAAGTTATCTGCTAATGTTTCATATAGATTAGAAATGTCCACTTTTTTTGTATGCCCAGGATCAATTGGATTGCATAATCTGAAATATGATTTGTATGAGAAAATCGCAGCAAATCATAGTTTCTTAACACTCTAACATTTTTACTCACTTGAATTTTTTCTCTATTTGCTGTTGACCAACAATATGATGTAACAATATATTTAATTGCTTGGTAGCTTCTGCTATTGTGTCAACACAATTTTGAGAATAATCTTTCAGAGCATTTGCAACAACAACAAAATATTCTGTAATACAAAATCATTTGTATACACTTATATCATATCTTTAAAGAATACTAGTTCAAAAATTGATATATATATATATATATATATATATATATATATACCTATAATAATATATTACCTTGAAAGTCAACCTGTGCTAACAATGGTCCACTACTAGATACAGCTCCATGTACTAAATGGGGATATTTAGCGCGCATCCAAGCAGCTAGAGATCCACCATATGATCCTCCAAATACAATCCATTTTGTGTTATTTGGAAATTTGTATCCAATATTAACACTTGTAATAAAGTATGCTAAGTCTGCTAATGCCTGCTGTGAGCTTAAATATACCAAATTCTTTACACTAAGATCCCTGCAAGTATATTTACAACATAAGTACAGTTATAATATAATATAAATTTCTAAATTAATGTTCTTTTGCATTTAATTATTTATATTCTACATACTGAGTAGGGTGACTTTTTCCATAAAAACGATGTTCTAAATAAAAACACATTGCCCCAAATTCTTTAGCATATTCAACCCATTGACCTTCTACCATCCATGTGGCATTTGCTGCACCTTCAGCTCCAATCATTAAAAACATGGGTCCATTTGGTTTATAAAAATTGGAGTTGACATAATATTTCTATCAAAAAATAATAATTGTAACCAACAGTAATCCTATTAAAGTTTATTTGAAGAAATAAAAAACTTAATGAAATATAAGATATAATGAAACCTTTCATTATATATATATACCTGTTTCCAAACACGAGCATCACTTGGGTTAAAATGATCTAAATATTGTGTGAACCACTGTTCCTCTGGAAGCACATATCTTTCAGAAGATAAAATTGGCTCTCCTAAATTACCATATTTGCTCCGACCTCTTAAGAAAATACGCCCTGCTGTACTGATGTTTATGATATTTAAAATAATTGATAATAACAGTAGAAGCTGCATATTATGATGCATTTGAATTATTATTCTTCTCCGTATGGAAGCAATTCTGTAAGATGAGATACAATAAATATAAATATGTCATATGCATAGATATATATTGTGAATATTTTAGTTGAAGAGAAAGTATAATCCATTTTTAACTTAATATATAAACTTTATATCCTTTGCTATTAAAATAGAAATATATATTTTTTTATATCTATGAATATCTTTGATAGAAATTTTAATAAATGCACTATAAAGTACTCACTCAGATCACTTGTAACAATAAAGATAAGATTTTAAAAGTTGGACACTCTGCTGCCAACAGTTTGAAATATTCCTTGTAATGAACTTGGCGTGACTTTGCAGCGCAGGCAGTTGATATTGTAAATCTAAAACACAAACAACTCGTCAAGGATCTGTGCATTTTGAATACATATATAATAAATATTTATAACACAGAGAAATATTTCAAGAGAGGGGAAATAACAAGAAATAAAGTATACATTTTTTTTTAAACAAAGGAGAACTTCACAATAAGGACTGATCTCGAAATCCTGACTTCATAATATGGATAATATTATAAATTTAGAATTTATATTATCATTATACATATAATCTATAATGATAATATAGCAATATATATATATTCTTTTTGAATCTCTCTTTTTCATTAATGAGTCATATCAGATTTTTACAGAAAGAACGAAAAAAAAACAATGATAATTCAGAATTAAATGAAAAAAGATTGAAATATTGTCGCATATTTGCATACTTATATCTTGCTACATAAAAATTGTTAGCAAACTGTAAAAACTGAGGATAAAAATTTCAAGTACATACATATGCAAATTACATATGATGAGTTGTCCCGTGAGCGATCATATGACAGATCAACATGTGAGGAACATAATTATTTTAATTGTCTGTGAAAGAAATCCGCGTGATTTTCCGCGATAACTTTGGTTAGCTCAATCCAGTTCGATCAGCTGTTCAGTTAATGGAACTCGTGATAAGGGAAGTTGGAGTCTCTTTTTCTCTCTCTCTCTCGTGAACTTCTCTGGCTGGCGAATGCCAAATAATTTTATCTCTTGCGGCCGATTAAATATTTATCACGGCAAACAGAAGCATTTGATAAAGCGTTTGATCGGCCGCCGCCGACAAAGTTCTTGGTTTGTTATAAATGTCAACTATAACCTCGCTTAGGATTTAAATCGGTTAAAGCGAGCACCAAGAAAGGTTTCACCTCACCAGTTTCTAGGTACATTTTACATGTGATTTTTCTTATTTAATTTTTTTATTCTCTCTGTATGTGTAATATTCATATTTTTCTTTCTCACAAATTAGTGCAACTACTGTGTATATATAAGACAACATGAAGTTTGCGGAACATTTAAGTGCACATATTACTCCTGAGTGGCGTAAACAATATATTAGCTATGAGGTAATTTAAGTACAAACATTTATTTATGCTATGATTAATAAAATGAGAAAATATATTTATGAAGCAAACTTATAAAATTTAAAATTTTATCACTCTATGCAAGCTTGTTTTTCACTGCATCTTTTTTATTTTGCAGGAAATGAAAGCAATGCTTTATACTGCGGTGGAAGAAGCACCTTCGGATGAAAGCGTAGAACCAGAAGTGATACAGCGTCACTTTGCCTCATTTGATGAAGTATTTTTCACATTCTGTGATCGTGAGTTAAAAAAGATTAATACATTTTATTCAGGTAAGAATTTCTCTGGCATTAATATTGTTTTATGATTTTAATTTTTCTATAAATAATTATATTAATTATTTATTTATTGTAGAAAAATTAGCAGAAGCTACACGCAAGTATGCAGCATTACAAAGTGAATTAAAAACTGCATTGGAACTGCAACAAGGGAGTGGAAAGAACAAAGGAAAGGCTAATATGAAGCCAGTTTTGCCTACCAGAAAGCTTAGGGATCTAAAACTTGCATTTTCAGAATTTTATCTCTCCCTAATTCTTCTTCAGAACTATCAAAACCTTAACCATACAGGATTTCGCAAGATTCTTAAGAAACATGACAAGGTATTTTTTTTGTATTGCAATATTTGCATGTCTTTTGTAACGTAACTTGTTAGTCACATCATGTATAATTTCAGAAACTACAGTTATATCCCAATATTATTACCATTTTCTGTTATAATTGAAAAATAATTCAAGAAAGTGCAAGAAACAGATATATTCCCTGTATTACTCAAGTAAAAGCTAGTAATTGTTTAATGATTTGTGTTTTGATTATATTAATGTTAAAATCTGAATTTCTCTATAATGCATTAAAAATCTTTTCAGCTGCTATCGGTTGATGCTGGTTCAAAATGGAGAGTTGAGTGTGTTGAGACGTCACATTTTTATACGTCCAAAGATATAGACAAATTGATACAAGAAACTGAAGCTACAGTGACAAATGATCTTGAAGGTGGTGATCGTCAGCGTGCTATGAAACGTCTTCGGGTACCACCGCTTGGTGAACACCAAAGTCCATGGACTACTTTTAAAGTTGGTTTATTTTCCGGTAGTTTCATTGTTCTGTCTATTGCGGTCGTCCTTTCAGGTATTTTAAAAAAATTTATATTATATATTATAAAAGAATTACTATGCGTGTTTATAGTTTTATTATTAAAAATTTCCTTATTTTTAGCGATTTTCCATGATAGTGGAGAAAATCTAAAGATTGCATTTAGATTATATCGAGGTCCCTTCCTTATTATCGAATTTTTATTTCTTATTGGAATTAACGTTTACGGATGGAGATCTTCCGGCGTCAATCATGTATTGATATTCGAGCTGGATCCACGAAATCATCTTTCAGAGCAACATCTCATGGAACTTGCCGCTGTTCTTGGAGTTATTTGGACACTTAGCTTGTTAAGCTTTTTGTACAGTGCAAGTCTAAGCATTCCACCGTACATAAATCCATTTGTACTTGTTTGCATCATGTTGACATTTCTATTAAATCCGATTAAGATATTTCGTCATGAAGCTCGCTTCTGGCTGTTGAAGATCATAGTAAGTACAATTTGTGCAATATTGTTTCTTTCTCTTGTTATGAATTGAAAAAATTGAATATAGTCTTTTGTGCGCTATTTTAGGTACGTGTTTTAATATCACCGTTTGCGTACGTCAATTTTGCTGATTTCTGGTTGGCAGATCAGTTTAATAGCTTGGCGACTGCATTCTTGGATTTTCATTTTTTAATATGTTTTTATATCACGAACGGCGACTGGTTAAAGGCAGGCGATACTACGCAATGCATGTCTGGCTCTCTCATTATTAGACCTATCGTGAATTGTCTTCCCGCGTGGTTTCGCTTCGCGCAATGCGTTCGTCGATATCGAGATTCCAGAGAAGCTTTTCCGCATTTAGTGAACGCTGGAAAATATTCTACAACCTTCCTGGTCGTTGTAGCTAATACTTTATACGCTTATCACACAGGTAAGTTGCATTTACATTAAAACTCTTTCAAAGTGTATATTTTTATCTTGTATATACACATATATTAACTTTAATTTGAAGAAAATTTAAATGATTTTATATAAAATTATTATATACGTATGTGCATAATTTTTATAAAATTTTACAGCTCTTAATTTTTTTGCAAAATTAATACAAAAGCAATTTATATATTTTTAGGGGAATATAAAAATCAATGGGAGAATCCATGGTTATGGTTATGGGTATGTAGTTGCCTTATTAATTCGATATATTCATATACATGGGATCTTAAGATGGACTGGGGTCTCTTGGACAGTAACGCTGGCGAAAATCGTTTTCTGCGCGAAGAAGTAGTTTATTCAGCATCTGTAAGTAAAACGTATTCGATTATAAAAAGAAATATATTTGATTTTTACATTATATATATTTATACATATTTTTAAATATTTTATAGTGGTTTTATTACTTTGCGATAATCGAAGATTTTATACTACGATTTGTATGGATTGCAAGCTTCGTTCTTGTAGAATGCAAATACATCTCTAGCGACTTAATGACTTCCATTGTGGCACCTCTTGAGGTCTTTAGGTATAAATATTCTTTTGAATTTAAAAATTTCTTTGTATCTTCCTATTGTTTTATAAAATTGTTTACAGACGATTCGTATGGAACTTTTTCCGTTTGGAGAATGAACATTTAAACAACTGTGGTAAATTCCGCGCCGTGCGTGATATTTCGATAGCACCCATTGAAAGTTCCGATCAGACGCAAATTCTACGAATGATGGATGACGAAATGGTGTACTTAATAGGGGCAAGCGTAAAAGTGGTGGTAAAAAACAGAACAATATGAAAGAGGAAAAACGAGCGTTACTTAAAGAAGAAATCTTGGATATTGATATATCGAATGCGAGTTAAATATAGCTCAGAATTTTTGTACATTATTACTTTTAACTTGCTGCAATTGCAGATTGCTTTTGGAAGCAATCTGCAATTAGTATCTGAATATAGTACTTATGTATATACTTATAAATATATTTATATTAATATATTTTTATGAAAGTATTATAATTCTTACAAATGGCATATTTTTATTGTTATCCTTTCCTTTCTGTAAAAAAGGCATGTTATTGACAAACGTTTTGCGATAATTGCGAATGTATAATTAATACACTTTAGAATTATTAACAATTTTACATAAAAAATTATTACTTCTCATTTCTAATAATAGATATAGATTTTTTCTCATAGAAATACATACATATTCTGTTTCGAGAAAAAAAAATTTAACGAGTTTGATAAACATCTGTATATAAAAAAGCTATTAAAATCATATTTGATGTGCAAATAGTTTAAATATATAAATTTTTATAATATGAGATTATTAAATAAATGAGAAATTTAAAGGCTTTAATATTAAAGATATATTAGAAATATGTTATAAATTTTTATATGATGGTAAAAATTCATAATTCTCTAATTATTAATTTCTAAAGTTATAATAATTATTAATTATTAATTTTTAAAGTTGTAATTTTTCATTTTTCTATTTTGTTTGCAATAAATGCGGACACATGAAAATCAATATGTTTAGTTTTGTTTTTTATAAAATTGTTGAAGTTATTATAAATATTAATTAATTGTGAATTATATTAGAAATTATAAGCGCGCGCTTCTGTGTTGTCTAGCAGCATTTATTAGCTGTATCCACATAATTAAAATTATGTTCATAATAAAAATTTCAACAATTAAAATTATGTACATAATATATGAATAATTCGACGAATTAAAATTACGTACATAATGGAAATTCAACAATTAAAATTATAATTGTAACATTTTTACTTAAACGCTTAGTTTCACACGCATGCTGCATCATTTTTTGCATTATAATATATGTTTGTATTATATTATAATTCAAATATAATTGAATTGAATAATTCGACAGACAAACAGATGGAAATGTGAGATCCTATAAGAGGATTTCATTTTTAAGAGATTCAAGCGCGTTAATATAAGGAGCGCATTATGAAAGGTTCACTTGATGGCAAAAACAAAAGTAATATTTTGGAAGTAACATTTTTATTATTTCGGCACCAGGCGGTTTTTGATACTTTGGTGAATCGCACCCCCAAAAGAAATCGATTCTTCGATAGATCCTTCAGTGATATCCTTATCACACAGGATTAAAAAAACACGCGTCGCGCGCCTTTAATTCTGAGACATGCGCAGAATTTTATACCGCGATAATTTCTTTACTCAATCAGCGAGCTCCAAGTGTCAAAACCACCCAAAAACCCCCAAAAACCCCCACCCGAAAATCGCGATCGGAAACGAAGGACCTCGTGGTCGACAAATCCGTGCCGAATCTCGCGCAAGAAAGATGTGTATTTTTCATCTTGAGTGATTTTCTAGAAAAGTGGCTTCGTGACTTGCACTTTTATTATCGTCGCGTGAATATCTTAAATCGAAATCAATTTTTGATTCTCGAATTATCGAATTTAATTAACTCGTTTTTAACTCTTCTTTTTATTTTTAATTTCAGAAAAGTGCTTCCAGAATCCAGGCGCCATTTGGCCGCTCTGGTGGCTATTATTCTATCATAAATCCTAATTGTGCAGATAACTGATTTTTCTCGTGTTCTCGTTAATGAATAATTATCGTATAGATATATTACAGACTTACCAAATATTTCTATCCGATGAGTGATCGCGAACGCGACGAAATCGCTTGAACGGTTTTCTTATTATATTCCACACATGGAAAATAAAATAATAATTGTTTCGAAAATTAATTATCTCGGATACTATTATAATTTTTATTTTACTTATATGTTATAGATCAACATATAATTGATGATACCGACAAATTGAAAGAGGAACCTTAACAGCACAACACATTAGAATGTCCTCTGGATGTCCCCCAAACATTCCAGGCATACGTGTGCTGTTAGGGAAGAGAAGGTTTGGTAAATAAGGAATCAGGCACCAGCAAGTAACCTAAAGTGAGTATTTATTATTTATTAGTTGTATTAAATCGAAGTTTATTAGTTGTATTAAATAAAAAATGTATGTAATTATGTTATTATTTTCTTATTAGTGTACAGTCGTTGACACAGAAGTTGCGACATTTTTTTTAGTGAATTTAGAATGTGTTTATATAAGTTTGTAGTTTATAGCATGTTTATAAACTCGTTAAAAAAAAGTGTCGCAACCTCTGTGTTAACGACTGTACGCGTGGAAAATAAAATCTAATATAATAATAATTGTTTAATAAAAATAATTTCTTGACCAGCTACTACAATTTTTATTCTATTTATATGTTACAGATATTACATATAACTTATGTAGTCTACTTTGTGCATCGATGGGTGAGTGAAGACAATTATTATTTGCGAGGTAACGGTTTTAAAGTGTGAAAAATGTAGATTTAGATTGTGTAAATTGTAGACTGTAGATTGTAGTTAGTTCTGTTACCTCAAAATATGGATGGATTACAAATTAATTTTAGAATCTTCATTCAGTATAATGTATGTAGCGATTATATACATACCATCGCCATTAATTACTACGGTTTCAGTTAAGCAATTAAAATTAAATAAATCGAAATCGCAATCGATTGACGATATCCGATTCACGAATCAATTAAGAGGCGAATTGCAAAGATAAAATTCATATATGCATACATATACACATATGTATATATGCATTGATTTAAAAAATATAATAAATTATAATAATGAAATAAGTTTCATTTATATTTCGGAAAGAAATATTTTCTATTTTGATTATATAATTAAGTATTAAAAATAAGAAAAATTTTGGCTAGAGTATCAATATATTTAGATTCTTGAAACATTATTATTAATATCAATTTTATATTAATATCGAAAGAATATATAATTTTTTTGCTCGTTACACATGGCTTAATATTATTTAATAATTTATCATTGTGTTTGTTTATATACGAGCTTAAGCATTGTTAGAGATTAGTTGATTTGTAGGGTAATTTTTATTGTGTTTATTGTATATAAAAGAATATATTCAAAAGAATAGATATATAATATAATATATATATATATATATATATATATATATATATTATATATCTATTCTTTTGAATATATTCTTTTATATACAATATATATTATATATATATCTATATATATATATATATATATATATATATATAAATATCATATATATATATATATAATATACATATATAAGATATATATATAATATAAGAGATATATACATATATATAATATATATCAATATTAATATCAAAAGGAAATAAGAATTTATTTTGTATAAAACTTTAGATTGTGTATGTTTTTATTTGTTACGTTTTTCGCAAGCGCGCGGTCGCTCGGTGACTCAAAGGACACGAGGGTAGGAGGGGAGGGGAGAGGGGTCGGCGCCAGCGCGGTCGGTTGTGAATGTCGCGTGTCAGTCATATCGGAGCACTGAGCGCTGCCGGGTGCGCGCCTTTAATCTGCATGATTCGCGAAGATCCTCTTTACTATCGTGGCAACGCACAAGCAAGCAAGTTTTTTCTTTTATCAGACGCGATCTTCTGCCCCTATCGTAAAGTACGCGAGTAAAGAAAATCGAGTGTAAAAGCAAAGAATTTACCGTGTTTATTTAACATTCGTTTCTCGCGTCCGCAAAATGTTTAACAATAATTAGACAAAACGTCTAATTATTATCGCGCGTGCCGCAGGATAACATGAACTGTGTACGTTTCATTATGCAAGAACACATTGCATTCATTATGCAAAATCGCGAAATTTTTCAAGGACAACGGATTAATTTGTGTGCCATGGCAGAAAGTACCCCAATATTTTCATTCAAATTTTAATCTATCACGTGATCTCGAGTAAATAGAGTGAATATCGCGCGAACCGCGAATTTCGAAATGTCAAAAGTGGCGAACTTCACGATCCCGATGACGGATCACGTGTCAAGGATGGTGAGTAATGATATGTGACGAAAACTGAATTTGTGCATAATTCGTAACTGTGCACGACGATTGTCGATCCTGTCTGAATGTTGGCGAACGAGCTATTAATAAACAAAGTTAATTATTTAACCATTCGATTTAACCATTGTTTTTTTATCTGACTCTTATTGTATATCGCGTCGCGCGCAGGATTTCAATGCAATTTGCATATCAACGTAATCGTGACGTAACTGGCGCGTTTATCGATCGACGATCTCTGCGGATTAGCGGACGTTCGTGTGAAAGTCAGTGTCCTTGCAGTCCCGATTCGCGTATCCGTGTTGTGTCGTTTCGTGTTCGTCGTTTGTGATGTCTTGAATTTCCGGCAATCGAAAACGGCTCGCGAGTGGTGCAACAGACATTGCCTTTAATATTTGATCCTTCGTGGACGAAGGATCCTCTGCTTCCAAGACGGCAGGAGTGTTTGAAACAACGGTGCTGATTATCATTATGGCTTACGTCCTGTGGCGAGTATTTATGAAAAAGTACTGCAAAGTACGATTAGGCATCAGAAATGCTCCGGTGAGTTTTTTTATTTGTAATTGAAATGTACGAGGTACTACATATCATAGTGAAAATAAAATAATGAATGTATAGATAAAAAAATATCCAAAATTTTTAGCTAGTAATTGATCGTAATTTTTATATACTAGTATTCGGCCAATATTATTGATCACTTTAATCAGTTTATATTTCTTTTCGATAGTAACTTATTTGCTAGACAATAATGTAATCAATTTCCGACTGTTTTTAATAATGGATTCGTCCAACAATTGTAATTAATTTAATTGTAATTAATTGAAAATTTGATAGTAATTGATGTCATTTGCTTAATTTGATTTTTGTCAAAATAATAATTTTTTTGTTCTGATTTTTCCTTCTTTATCATATTATTAATATGAATTCTAGATTTTTTTCACTCATTATTTTACTTTATTATTTTATTTTCACTATTAATATGTTATATGTTTTGGTATAATATCTTGTTTTCTATATATGATTTCTGACTGTTTTTAATTAATTGTATAATTTAGCTTTTACCGAAAACAATAATTTTTTATTTGTTCGTGCTGGTTTTTCCTTGCTTATATTTTCATTAATCATTTGATTGATGACGTTTACGGTGGCACCTATTTTTAGGTGCGCCAGATATACATCGGTTGTAATATTATTATAGATGTCTTTTGTAAAAATATAAAATCAATTTTCGCATATAATGTTGCCGCTTTTCCGCATGCTTCTAATTATCAAAAATATAAAATTTACGCGAAAAAACATTACTGATGTACAAATATGATAAAACAATAAGAAAACATCGAAATTATCATACATATGAGTATATACACGTGTCAATACCTAACATACTGGTACGTAAAAAATTGTCTAAAAAATTTCTTAAGTATTTTTATGAACAAAACTTTTTGGATAATTAATGTACCCAGGACTGTACAAAAATTATTTTACAATAAATTAAATGTTCGAAATACGGCCAGCTTATCATATATTTGAAAATTCGAGTTTTTTGGGTTAAATATATATGTATTTAGTGGCAGCCTATACGGTTGGAACTATGCTACAGAACTATAGAACTCGTCGAAAACTATAAAATTTCATTATTCTTTGGAAAAATGTGCAATGATATGCTAACTTTCAAGCCAAGTTAGCATATCATTCACATTTTTTTAAATTTGAACAATGAAATTTTATAGTTTGGTAATTGTTACGCGTGTCGCGATGAATTTGGAGGAACGATACGAGACGGGAATTTAATAATGATGTGAGAGAGAGTATTTGCAGATATCACTAATATATTTCTCAAATGCACACGTTAAAATTCGATACAGGAATATATAAAGAAAGACCGTGCGGATATAGTGTGACTGTACGCGGCGACTGTCGGTAGCGAACTCCCTTTCGCATGTAAAAATATTCTACTTCTCGTTCGCCTCAAAACGCCCTTCGATCGGCTTCGAGAGGCTTCGCGAACTTTCTCTATATTTAATTTCTTTGTCTCTAACGTCACGATGTTTTTCGTCTTTCGTCTCGTCTGTTATATTTATTTCTATTTATGTTTATTTGTCTCTCTATCCTTTTCGTATGCGTGCGTGTCCGTATTCGTATACGTGTTTCTCTTGCTAATATTTTTGGGGAAGCATGTGACGATATAATCGCCACAATAGTTTTCGACGAGTTCTATAGTTCTGTAACATAGTTCCGACCGTAAGTTGCCACTAAATATACATTTAACCCAAAAAACTCGAATTTTTACATATATAATAAGCATTGATGTTTTTTCATATTTTGAAGTCTGCTTAAACATATTAAACATATTAATTAATTATTAATAAAGCATTTTAATAATTATTTAATTATCTAATTTTAAAGTTATGTATCAATATAAAGAGCCTTACTTTAGTATTATTGTTTAATTTGTATTAATAATATATTATTTAAAGATTCATAAGAGCTATTATAGATGATTTTTGTCAAAAGATTAATGGAGTTCAATTTTTATTAATTTTTTTAATATCAATCTTTTTAATATAAAAGTAAAGAATAGCGTGCGCTTGTGTTGTTCTATATAGTAAACTAAAAATGTACTTTCGTAATGCGTGATTCTAATTTTTGATCCCATTACGAGCATTTATGTTCGAACGTCACGTGTTTCTGAAATATTTCACGGATATTCATGTGACTTTTTCTAAAAGTTTCTGAATGCAATTCAGCTTAAGTAAAAAACGTGAAAGTTCCACTATTCAGTCAAATGTAGCGTATACTGTATAAAACAATTCTGTGCCTTAATTACGGTAGAAATTATTTTCTAAGTACAGCTGAAATCCGCTTGTTTCGCATCGTTTTAGTATGACAATCTTTCGCGAGAGAAATCTTTTGCCACGAACGGAAATTCTAGCGTGCCAATTCCAAAACTGTATGTAAAAAACCTTAATCATAACGAGAATAATTCCACAACGGGAATGACTATTGTCTTAAAGCCATAGCATTATAGAGAAAAAAAAGAGAAAGAGAGAGGGTTGAGAGAGAGGGAAGAGAGAAAAAGAAAGAGGAAAGTTTAGCTTAATCTGATAGTTGTATATGTATTTTATATTTTTGTGCTCTTCCGTTCTACTCTTTCGTTTTTTCTCTCAGCTTTTCAACTTTAAAGCTAAAAAATAAATTATTTAATCGAATTATTTAATTGAAGTATGTTAAAGTAACTATTTCAATAACAAAATAAGTAAAAAATAAAGAAATATCTTCAATGAGAGCATAATGCACGAAATAAATGGTTTAGTAATTTCAAGATATGTATAATATCAATTTTATGTCTCAAAAGATAATTAATTCGATGACGTTATAGATGATTGTCCAAATTCTCATAAATCATTATATGATTTGTAAATGTCTATTACAAAAATTAATAACGATTTTGAGAAGGTAGTTATTATGATCTACATTAATTAATGATTAATTATTATTATTATTAATTAATCTGTTCACTATGTATTTGACAGTGGAAGGAAAATTTAAATAGCTGTTCTTGCATTTCGGAGTGATTAAAAAAGAAGTATTATTAAGTTCGAGCTCGTTCAATGACTTTCATTCGGACGCTTATCAAGTATCATATCTTACTTTAGCATGAAGGATCCCACGTTCTCGTTGCGACAAAATCTATTGTGAAAGGAAATTAATAACTATTTATCATTAAGACAGCGCCGTTATAATGCGCGTATATTTCCTATGCAAACAATATCTGCTTTAAATCGTCGCGATAAGCGTCGAAGTGCATTATTATTGCGTAATATGATTTTTTGAGCGCGAGAAATATTCTAATATCATTAACGGTATGCCGCAAAATACCGTAATCAAAATTGAATGAAGAATATCACTTTTCATGCGTGCTGTGATTAAATCGAGAAGCGCGTTTTCGCACGGCCCGTTTGCGATCCTTAAGAATAAATATTCGGGAAAAGATAGCTATCGCATGCACAAAAAGAACCGGCGCGCCATGCCTGTAATATATTATCGTGTACGATTCAGCTAAGCTCAATTTCAGTTAAAAGCTAAGTAAGCAATTGTTTACTATCAATTTTAGAAAAATTTTATGCTGGGGTTATACTTTTCGAAATTTTATTTTACAACTATTTCTTTTATGTATTATCCATCAGAAAAAATTCTTAAAGTTTTCTGCTTATTATATTTCAATGGAACACTATTTCTGACATCTCTGCAGGACTTAATAATTAATAATTCACAGTCTAATTCCTTTATAATTTATAAATATTAATAATTTGATAAATTACATATTTTTCCTAATGCAATACATATTTATCTTAATCTCTGCAATAATATATTTATATTATTATAATATTTATATTATTATATTATAATATATTATATTATATTATTATAATATATTTATGTGTTGAAAAAAATCTCGATATACTTAATATATACAAAATTATTTTAATATCGAATTTACTTCTGTATAATATTTAATAATTTATGTTATAAATCTTTTCACAAATGTAATTCTAATATAGAACTTATTTAGCTCTTATTGCCTTTTTATTTGTAGATTATTATTTCAATATCTTTTATAAATTATCTATTAATTAGCTTTTAAATGAAACTGGGCTTAGCTGAATCTGAAACGATAAGTCAAGTTTTTAAAAGACTTTGGTTTGGTTTTCGGTTTAGTTATTTTATGCTTTCTTGAAAAAAATATTTAATTACTTTGCACTGTTAGTCGTAATTAATATATTTTATTAGTTCTACGTTATTGATCAAATGTGAGAAAATGCACTGGTGCAGGTGCTAACCAACAGATGGCACCAGATAGATTGCATATGCAGTTGCATTGCAGTTGCATTGCAGTTGCATTATAATACTATATTATATAATTTTATTAATATTACATATATAAAAAAACCGAAATTTCTCGTATTTATATCTTTATGTAGAAATGTCAAAATAAAATTTTTTAATTAAACAGCTACATAAATTGGATGAGCATACATAAAATAATAAAAATAATAAATAAAACAAAGATTATATATGTACTATATATAATTTTTTTATATCACAGAAAATTATATTTATTCGTACTTCAAAGAGAAAGAGAAAGAGCTGCTTCTACTTTTGTCTAAATGTGGAAACATTTTTCTTTTTCTCCCTTCTTTGAAGTACGAATAAATATAATTTTCTATGATATAGAATATAGAAAAATGTTATATACATACATATATATATGATTTTATATTTATATACACAGTAAAAAAATTTATGTTAAATTTAACACATTTCACATGTCTCAATTTATCTACTCTAATTTTAATGTCATTTTAACAAAAGACAAATATGTAAATAAATAACACACGTAATATGTGAAAAAATAACACAAAAATATAAAAATAAAAATATAATATAAGCAAAAATTCGTACATTTTCATTTAATTGTGTTGTTTTAACACTTAAAAATAGTGAATATTAACTCAACAGACAAATGTCAAAATAACATAACG